AGTGCTGGGTGAGATGCTGGTCCACATCAGAATCTCCCGCCTCTGTGTCCTATGGGTAAATCTTATGGAAGAAAGTTAATATAGTTAACTAAAACTAAACCAAAAACTACATGAAAGAAATCATTTTAGACTGAAGATAAAACTAGACTTAATTTGTTAATTTGGTCACATTTCTCAAAACAAGAAGCCTGTGCACCTTTTAGTGCATGTGTTACTAAATCTGGGACGTCTAAGAAGGGACTTTGTTTCAAGTATTTGTTGTCACTGTTAATTTATTCTATTTTTCTGAGCATCGTAACACAAATTATCCACAAGGTAAAGTCAAAAGTGAAATTGAATTTTTAAAAAGTAAGCTTAAAAATACTCTGTGGAAGCTACCTGAAACTAAACTGAAGGTAAAAACCTCCAAAAGTTGATTCTATTCATCTGGACGTAGTGTTTTGTGGGAGAAACGTTTCATCACTCATCCAAGTGGCTTCTTCAGTCTCAGCTGACTGCAGGTTTCCCCAATCTTATAAACAGTATATTTGCATAATGACTGAAACCAGCCCACTGAAGGAACAATGGGCTGTGGGGTCAGAGGAAGGTAAAAACACGTTGACACATTGTCAAACAGCATAGTGGAATTTAATAGGTACGTTTGAAAGAGATGTTTTTATCAGTTTTTGTACTGCTTTCTCATAGAGGTTTTATTGGTGGTGTATATAGGGGAAGGTCTAGACCTGTTCAAGCTACAGAAAAATTGCAACATGAAAATTAATTTGAAAGTCTAGTTCCCAAGAACAGTGCAATACTGATGAAAAGCTAAATGAAAATATTATCTGAGCATTTTATGCGTTTTCACATATGGAAACCAGCTCTAATAAATCATGTAAAACTACACTTTAAGGTGTGTGGGTGTGTGGGTGTGTGTGTGTGGGGGGGCGGGGGGACTCATGATAAACGCATAGCTGATGCTGCGTGAGACCTTCTCCAGAGGAAGCTGGATTAATCCACCTCTGTGACGTGTTAACAGTTTCGAAAAAGATCCACAATCAAGTGCTGCTGAACGAGACCGCTACGCTGGCAATGGTGTAGTTTAATACGATAATAATATGACCTCTTCTTCTCGAGCCTCCTGGAGTCCAAGCATTTGTTGGCTTGTCGCCAAGCAGCCTGTGCAATAACTACAGTAACATTAAGCTTCCCCGGGGTGTATTTTATTGGTATGACTGAAGCAGACACCCTAACTTCCAAATAAACCCGGTGTGTGCTGTCCCGTCCTTGTCCGGGTGGTCGCAGCCCCTGCCTCTGCAGAGCGCGAGGTTTCTGCTGCAGCACCGTGTTATTTGATCCTTGCTCTTTCTTTGCTGGGAAGAAAAGCTCGCCTCTTTCCCACGCTCTGAGGACACGTGGTGCCCGGAATGAATTGGATGCAGAAGGCCCTCCCCTCCCGGTTAAACGTCATCGCTCTCGCTCTCTCTGTCTCTCTCTCTCTATTCTCATAAACTCAAGCACGCATGTTTTCAGGTATGAATGTAAAAACAGGTTTAAAAAAGAAAATGTGTTTAAAAAATAATTATAATAAATTTAGATTTATGTTCCCTCCTGTTGTGTGATTTCCCCGTTTGGGCTCTTCTGCAACATGGAACCCAGAGGAGAGACTCCTCCCGGCTCGTCTGGCCCATTGCTGCCCCGGCGTCGGCGCCAAACTCGGGCACCGAGCAGCTACGAGGTCTTTGTTGCTCCTTTTGCGGTGCAGCACTTAAGCCTCTCTGTATTTCGGGGAGTGGGGTGTTATCTTGTTTCTCAACGCACGAAAGCAGAGCAAAGACATGGCTGCACAAACAAAACCAGAACAGGCTTGCATTATCTCAATGCAACCGTTTTCCATTTAGGAGTTCTAGGAAAGCTGGCCTCATTGCACCCTCCGTGCCCAGCCGACCGCTCTTCATAGCTGTGCCCCCGCCCCCCAAAAAAACAAACTAACAAAAGTTTTTACATTTTTATTTATTTATTTAGTTGTTTTACCTGACGTCATATTAACTGAACGCGAGAAACTGTGGGGGGAAAAAATCACAAGTATTTTATCTCAACTTACTCTGGCAACTTCCCAGGCACACATTACCACGAAAGATTCAAGAGAGAAGTGCATGTGTTGGGGAGGGTCTTCGGGGAGAAACTCATCCATTGGAAAACGTTTGGCTCCTGTAGTCTCTGCAAATGTTTTCCAAGTGTCCAGACGCATTGCAGCAAAAGCTCTGATAGCGGACAGATGTTCTTGATTTTCCAGAAATTGTTTTGCACCCTTCAGTAATCTGAGAAAAAAAAATGCACACATGTACAGTACTGTGCAAACATTTTGCGCACTAAATGTAAAATGAGGAAAAAAAACAAATACATAAATTCTTCACAATTCAGGAATTATGCAATAGAGAGTTTTCCAAGGTATAATTATACCTTTGCAAGTGACGGACAACTTTATCCAAACGTTCTGGTTAATTGGCACAAGCCTTTTGTAGTTTGGGTTAAGTCTTTGCACAACAAAAACACAAATAGGAAACAATTAAACCAAAACTTGTATTTTTCTTAAATTATAATTTGAAAAACAACCCACAATCTAAATTTCCCCTCAGTCTGATGGGATAGATTTGCTCTGCAAACGGCCATATGTACCCTCACTGACTAATTCTGTCCTATACGGAGACAGCGAAGGGGAACACACGTCTGTTATTGCAGCCTACACCATCGACTTGACTTGGTTATTCACCACGTTTGAATACACCACATATGGGTGACTCAGAGCTGCTGGCTTTGTTTTGGAGCATTTGCAGCTGTGGACCACTTGTAGGAGGTAAAAAACAAAAGGCGCACAAATAGTCACCTGCACATGTCCCCAAAGACATCCAGAGTAGATGAAATTAGCTCGTTTTTGCTGTCATTTGAGCATGTCTGAAAGTCAGGTATCTCCATATCCATAAACATAGAAGAGAGTGGCCTAGAACTCCTTTCTGAGTTGCTTCCAGAATATGCTGCAAAGTCAGCTTTACCTATATTGATAACAAGGGACACATTCTTACATGTTCAGTGCAAGAATGTTCTCTTGTGCCTAACTACACGATCCCTTAATCGTGTAACTAAACCCAATAAAATATTAGCCTGTTTCATATCCATACTGTGCATCATGCCGGCGTTAAAAGCCGGTTTGCACTAATGGAACCAGTTAATGTGGTATGTGCAGCCGTGTAGGCTAACTGAAAGCACTACTCTGTGGTTATCTGTGGCTACTAAACTGTGACCCTCAGGTGCCTCATTCATGATTTTAAAGGACACCCTCTGGTCAGCTTAAAAGGGAGAGGGACGTCTGTATGCACCTAATAATCAGCCTCCTTTCCCAAGAATCGCTGTGTCGTCTTATCCTTTAGATTAAACTGAGCACGTCTGGGGCTTCATCTGTGGGACCTCTGTTGCTGTCTCTCCCACGGACTGCCGCTCCGACCCACAATAACACGCTCATGCATACAGATAGAGCCACAGACGTGCGCCAAATGTACAGTTCTGACTGTGGGAAAACCTGATAGTGCGAAAGCCGCCAAACCATCCGAGCGGAAAGCGGCTTGTAAAGTGTTACACAGATGACACGGAGAACGGGTCGCCAAACGGAGCAAACGGTCAGAGAAGGAGGCTGAGCTGCAGGTAGCCTACCTGGTGCGGTTTCTACATAACCCATTTTCTCCGTCTCTGCGTTTATCTAACCATCTGTGTCACCGTAACGCTTATTTATTTGTGCCTAGCCGTGTTTCTGTCAGTTAGTGGGATATCTATCGACACCTTTTTCTCTGCGCCACACACACACTCACACACACAGGCGCCCAGTTCCCACGGTGGTGGGGGTAGCTGAGCGGCGGTGTCAGTCTGTGCAAAGCGTCACCTCTTTTCACTTGCAAAAAGGAAGTAGCGCGGGGCTTTTGTTATCTGAACTCTCACAGTCTAGTCATTTAAAAACAAGTGGACTATATCCGCCGTTTATGATTTAAACAGCCACCTATAATCTCCTCCTTTGAGGTGTTTTTATGCCGGTAGGTATGACGGCGACAATCCACCCGTTTGGGATTTGTATTTAACTCTATGCCATTTGGTTTGGACGTAATATAGCCTACTTGTGTCGGCTTCTGGTAGAACGGTGTGTACAAATGTCTCCCTTGTGCCTCAGTCTAGCATTTGGACGAATCTCATCTTCTTTCTTTGTTGTATTTCACATTTATCCACAAATTAACTGAGGCGTTTGTGTGGAGTCCCACACTCCGGAGAAAGTTGGAACACCAAAATCAACACATAGCTGTAATCCACTCCCTCTACGGAATAATTGTCATTATTTGGACGCTTAAAATCCCCAAATTCACAAGAAGTGATGCCAGTTTTTTTTTCCAGATTCAATATAGATTCACTTAACTGAGATTAAAAAAACAAAAACAAAAAAACCCCATTTAACTTATACAATCCTCGATCCATGGTAAGAAGTGAAATTCTATCGCCTTTCGAGAGATTTCACCTCCTTTGAAATTGGAAAGAAAATTAATATGAAGGTAAATTTGAGTAATAGACACTCCATTCTTTGAGTTATTTTATTGCGATTAAGACTTTCATTTGATTTTGTTTCTTAGTAACAATTTTCATCGAGCAGCGATTAATGATCAACTTTCACCGAGCAACACTTGTCAATTCCCTTCAGTGCCCAACACGCTCTCACTGACACCTGACTGACTTTTTGTTGCAAGTTCCTGTCGACGACAATCCAGTGGTGGACCTTTTACAGCGTGCCCGATTTCTCAGCAGTTTACAGCGCTGGCAGCACCGTGTCTTTGACTTTCAGTCCGCTTCACGGGGTGGGCTGCAGGAGATCGGATATAGAGATCACCGTAGGATTGCTGCGGGCGCCTTGTTTAATACTTTGCAGCAACATTTGGCTCCCCCTCGGAATACCACGCCCCCTCCCCACAGATTCACAGGACCCTGATCCCTCCCTCAAACCGAATCGGCAGCCTATAACCTCCCCGGATCTCCACCCATTCCTCCACAGTTGATTCTTTGGGAAGGTATTGTCATGCAAATAAAGGACGCGTAAAATATTCTCTCAGAGCGCAGCGGAGGGCAGAGACTCACACGGACCGCAAGGAGGACACAGATCGCGCCACTCGGTGGATTTCTATCGTTTGCGTCGCTAGGGACCCGTCTATCTGTCACAGGTAAGTCCCAAATCTGCAGCGGATTACAGTTCTCACATGTTTAGCGGTAATATTCAACCAGTGTACCCGTGCGTAAACGTCTGCGCACGGTGGTTCCGCGCACTCATTCTTGGATGTGGCGGAATGTAGGGTCTCTCGCACTCTGTTGGTGAGGATTCTGGATTCATGCGGGCTCCTCTTGTCCTTTTTTTGTCTTTCCCAGACACCCTGGCCACATGAGAAGCGACATATAGCCAGGGAACAGATCGAACCGTTCAAGGAAAACCGACGGGGATCCAACACGCAGGAGGCTGCTCTGTGGAGATAGTGGCCATACTTCCAGTTTTCCCAAGTAAAGTCGGAGGTGTCTCTCTTCTCCATCCCCCTGTGCAGGCTACCTGCTGCTGCTACTGCTGCTACAGAAGGGGAACTATATTCTAAAGTCCCCTGGATCACTTGAGAGCACCCTTCTATTTTCTAGGGGATTTATGATCTCTCAAATATTTACACACCAAGTGTGCCATTTTCTCTCTTGTCCTTTTTGGGATATATGTACACACATATATATAAAGTGACCTTTTTCCGTTTTAGTGGGCTACTTTAAAGTGCCTTAACTGGTTATAATCCAGTGTAACTGTGGCATTGCTACCAGACCAGAGACGCTCAACAGGGAGAAGACGATCATTATCAGCTTTAGAGTCCAGGCAGGATTACTTGTTCCCACCCTCCAGCGAGTTGCAACCATGAGCCAAGCGGATGTGTCAACTTGCTCCGCGCCGCAAAGGGTTTTCCAGGAGGCGGTGAAGAAGGGCAACACCAAGGAGCTGCACTCTTTGCTGCAGAACATGACAAACTGCGAGTTCAACGTCAACTCCTTCGGGCCGGAAGGACAGACGGCCCTCCATCAGTCAGTAATTGACGGAAACCTGGAGCTGGTAAAACTGCTGGTGAAATTTGGTGCAGATATCAGACTGGCCAACCGGGAAGGGTGGAGCGCTTTACACATCGCCGCTTTCGGGGGCCACCAAGACATTGTGCTATACCTCATCACCAAGGCCAAGTATTCCTCTGGCGCCCGGTGATCAGACTCTGCTGTCAGGTAAAAAAAAGAAAAGAAAAAAGAAAAAGTAGAAAAATTAAAACAAACAAGCAAACAAATCAACTACAATTTAAATATAAAACTGCAACACAACACACGGGAAAGCCAGGCTCTTGTAAAAGCAAAAATAAATAAATAAATAAAACAAAAAAACCAATAAAACAAACAAAAAAACAACAACAAAAAAACAAAAACTGCCATTATTTACATAGTTGTGCCAAATCATATAAAAAAGGAGATAAAAAACAATAGGCCTGCACAATAATCTTTCCTCACTGTAAACCAAACGGGGTCCTCTCTGCACTCCCGAGTGAAGCACCGCATGGTTCATACACAGCGCCTCAACACGAATCTTTTAACAAAAGAAACCCATTCCGTGAGTTTGTTGGTACTAAAGCTTTCCTCTTGAATGTTCGTATTAGATCGTGTCGTCCACTATAAAAGAAATCAAGTCTCTGTGTATCGCATGTGTGTGTTTGGACTCCAGAGAGCAGATGGCCCAGTTTTTTCCCCTATCCCTTGAATAGTTTCTTTGTGGGAGCGCAGATTTGACCTGTTGCTCCTCATTGTTCTGTAAAACCCCCTTTTTTTTAAGTTATTTTATATGAAACAGGCACTTGATGCTTTATGGCTGCATGCTGGAATATCTGAAAGGGAAGACACATGAACAAGAGAAGAAGGGTTGCCCTCTGTTGGTTACCAGAGGTCTTATTTTCTTTAATAAATTTTAGTGATTCTTCTTCATTCTTTTTTTTTTTTTTTTTTTAACTCAAAGAGCGGCATTATGGCTATCCAACACATTTTCAGATGTGTAATCATTATGTAACAACAACTGACTTCATAATTGTTGTGAAGTACTGTACACAATAGCTTTACTTTGTTTCTGTTTCTTTCTTTCTTTCTTTTTTTTTTTAAAGGAAAAGAGCGATGAGAGCGCTCTGCAAGCAGATCTTGCCATGCTGGCGTCCAATTTTTCAGGCCAGTGCGACCACTTTGCCAATGGTCATTGTGTTACTAAAAACCGCTGCTTTCGCTTTGTATAAAAAAAAAAAAAGACGCATTTAATTTCACTTTATAATCTCCTTTCAGTATTTTATTAACATCCTAGTCATCACTGTGAAAGCAGGCTGGGTTTTTTTTTTTTTTAATTTATGAAGGTACATTGAGAAGATGCATTTTTAAATATTTTGTGGTTCTTCTTAAAAACGATCTGTATTGTGTAAGGATATAATGGGTGACTCAAGCTGCTTCAGACTTTTTTGTGTAAACTGTCCCGTGTGGAGGTAAGACCTGCCACCCTCATCCTACTGGCCACAGTTCTAGATTCCCCCACCGCCCAGTTATAGGCTGTCGACCCCCTCGGAGAGGACTTTCTCATCCTCCCATTAAAGTGACTCTGTTTGGTTGCCTTTTCCCAGCTACCTCGTCTGTAAAGTATTCTCAAGTCGTTCTGTTTTTCCTCACCACCGCCTTGTTTGGAGTCTGTGATAATCCGCATGCCGATGGGCTGTTTGTGTCTGCTAAAGTAACCTCACAGCCAGATGGACTTCAGTAAAGAAGATGCAATGAACCCAATTTTGCATCCTCCTTCGGGACAGTTTTCACACTACAACCAAACCAGTGCTGACAAGCAAAACATCATTTTGCCCTTGCTGCAAGAGAGTCTTTGGTTCTGTCTTTCTTAACACACACACACACACGCACACACACACACACACACACACACACACAGAGCCATTGTTGCATGTCTCCCCTATAATACTCCACTTTGCTCTCTCTCCCTGTGTCCTTATCAGCCTGTATGGTTGTTTTAGTTCCATTTATTTTCTCTCTTTTTTTTTAGTCATACAAAAATGGAATTGTATCGCATGACTTATAAATGCAGGGAGTTTTATTGCACAAAATCGGAGTCTTGAGCGCCCCCAGTGTTCGTATGGGGTAACTGCAAGAGCCAAGGCTTTGGAATAGTTACTACTACTGAGCAGGACCCTAATACTGTTGGACGATGAAGACTTAAAAATGATCAACAACACATGACTATTGCAGGATTTCACAGAAAAGGAAAATTAGGTCTCATAAATTTACCTGCTGCATTTTGAAAGTCATGGCACCCTAACATTTGTAACGATGCTGCTTGTATGTTTCTTTTCTTGTTAATGTTGATGTTGTTATTTTATTATTATTATTTTTTGTTTGTTTTTAGAAAAAAAATGCCTACTGCTCAAATGGCCAACAGAATTTTCACAGCAGCACTGGCTGACCTCATGAGAAGCTCTTGAGAAGGTGTGCACGAATGTGTTTTCCCGTTAAGGTGTATGTGTTTATGTTTGTGTGTGTGCGTGTTGTGTGTGTCTTCTCATGAGGCACGTGTCCCATTTTCAACCTGGAACAACCGATAATTAACCGAAACAATAGTTCTACTACATTAAGGTATAGATTGGTATCAGGCAACAAATGAAATATGCATCGCTTGTCTTAAACTTGATTTTTTTTTCTCTTTTGTTTGAATATTGCACTGATGACTGTTGTTGAAAAGTTGGCTTTTATGTGTCAACATTTAATTTTTTTTTTTCTGAATAGAAAAAAAAAGCAGACACAACAAAATACTATTGTATAAATATATGCTCCAGGTGATGATGTCCTAATGTGTGTATTACTTTGTGGAAAAAACATGATGTTTTTCAACAAAGACGTGTGTATCTCTGTGATTGGGTGTATGTATATATACATATGGATATATATATCGATGCTGAAGATGATGATATCTTGGGGCACTTTCTTTTCTGAAGTGCTGTCTTCCTGATTTTGTTTGAAAAGGGGAATAATACATTTGATGGTAAGATCATTGTAACATAATAAAGAATTGCACGGTTGTGCAGTTATTTGGCTCGCTATGGTCATAACATTTATGACGTAAGGAGCCTGCTGCCGGATTGGTGTACACGTTGAGATGATTTTTTTTTCTATAAAAAAACAAAAAGAAAAAAAAAAGGAGAAAAAAGAATGAAAGAGTGCTGACTTCTTTGGGCCAACTTGTGTTTCTGGTCTTGCTTCATTTCAAGCAGGAGGAAACAGTTGATTTTTCATGTGTGATGCAGATGTTCCATCATCATGTCTGATTTTGGATTTTTTTCGTGTGTTTGTTTGTATTCTTTTATTTTTGAACATTTGTAACACTGTGATGATGACATCATGTCATGTGGAGATGAGTGCTGTATTATTTTTGTACGTTTGTGTACAAGCCAGTAAAGAAATCATTAAACTTAAAATCCGCTGTGTATGCATATATTTCTTCCTTATGTCCCAAGCAAAAGCTACCCCTGCCCCCCTCCCTTCACATTTTTCATTGAAAAGGTTGGTTTGGGAAACACCCCCCTCACCCCCACACTGCTCTCTCTCTCTCTCTCTCTCTCCCTCTTTCCCTCCTGTCTTCCAAGCAGGGCCCAACCCAGATCCCCATTCTCTCTTTTTGTCATTCATCTGGCCTCATCCTTTCACTGCCGGGATAAAGGAGCCCAGTGCATTGTGGGTAGGCTCAGTTTAAAGAAGGGTCCCCTCCCCTGTGTGTGTTGTGGGAGAGATGGTTTTATGTTACCCCCACACACAAAAACTTTTCCAACACACTCTTCTCGTATGCTCTCTTCCTAATGATTAAGACCCAGGCTTTGCACCACACTTCAGCTCTCTGCTAACAACCAGGACTTTTGTGTGTGTTTGTTTTACCTTACTTAACTGTCTCTTACTCACTATTTATACTCCCTATCAAATTATCTTCTTCAAAGCAAAACTAATTGTGGAGTTAGACTTCTAAGAAGTAAGAAGACTTCCAAGAAGTCCGACTTGCTTCAAAATCATCCACTTTGTTGAGGCATTTTGCATCTTTTTTGTGATTTTCTTGCAGCTTGTGTTCAATATAATGTTGCATGAAATGGGCTTAAAAATGGATTGGCCATAAGTGTAAAAGGGGGAACTGTGCTATTCTGATATGTTGACTCTTTTACAAGCAAAATGGTTATGAAAGAGTGTATTAGTGTGTGCATTATGCTCTGATTTCTATTTCAGTTTTTCTTTTTCTTTTTTGCATGTGTGCTTACTTTCATGTCAGCATTGGTTAAAATGCAAAATCAGTTTTTTCTCCTGCTCATTTGAGTGTTTGAGTGAGTCACATCAACATCAACATCCTTCTTAGAAATGATGACTCGCAACTGATATTGCATAGCTGTATAGCGGTTGGTGGGAAAACAGAGGCAACAATACGTTTTTCAACATGTCAGACCTGTTCGCATTGCAACATTTTCTGGGTGTTGACCAGCTTCAACTGTGAACGTTTGAGTAAAAAGGGTTTCCCATGTGTTCGAAATAACGGTTGTGGTCTTAGAGTTGCAATTGTGAGAGAAAAAAAAGCAGTAGTATTATGAGGTTTTTACTGACAACTTTGTGCCATAGTTGAAGCAGCTGTTAAAATCGGTGTCTGCACTGCAGCTGAACCATACATGACCTCAGCTCAAAGTTTCAGCACTGATCTGATGTATTTGAGTTCCTCTAGACACCAGCCCTTCTCTGTTTTGATCCCATGGCAGGCAGAGTGTGTTATCTCGCCTGCTGCTCGCTTGCACATTTCTCCCCAAGTCCCTGCCTCCCTCCCTCTCAGTCTCTCACTTCTGCAGGATGTTTTTGTTGAGCTGCGTTCCCATTGTTCACACACTGAGTTGGCTGGCCTCCCAGCGTTGATGCTGGCTGCTAGGCCCCCTAATAGGTTCTTCATGTGCCTTGGCTTTCCTTGCTCATCTTGGTCATTGCATGGAGAAGCTTGCATTAGTGAGCCAGACAACAGATTTTTGGAGGAATTTTTGCAGAGAAGGCAGAGAGGGAAATTGTGATGGATATTTGTCGAGGGAATAACTGGAAATCCAGAAAACATAGGGGAATCACATTAAAATTGCTTCACTAAAAAAACAAACAGGCCACACTGGTAAAGAAAAAAAAGGACAGCCTTGTGTCCTTTTGCTTGTATAGTTTTTGTATGAAACACATAGAGGAGACAGTGTTAAAAGCTGGTGGGGTGATGTTATAGCAGCTGCAATCAAGTGCATCTGGGTGATTATTTGCCATCGCTATTCAAAAGCCTATTGTTCAGAGGCTCATAAAATATTCATATCCATGCTTCCACCCCTCATTTGAAGGGATGCACTTAATCTGAAACACGCAAGATTAACTGAACATCTTGTGATACATGTAAAATGCCATTTGACTGGTTTTGCAATGATAAATTCCTCTTTTTTTGTTTTGTTTAATCAGCACATGTTCAACATGTGTACAGTGCACACGAGAACTTCTGACTTCCTCAGAATATGCTGATACAGGCTTGATTGCTCTCTGATTGGGTGGTAATGTACAACAAAGGGCTTCTCTGAATGAAACCTGTTGTATAATTAGGTTGAGAACACATATGAGGAACTTTTAAGAGTTACTGCTGGAGCTCAATAACTCAGCCCTGTGTGACTGTCGAGTGATGACAGCCACACAAAGACGAACGCATTGAAATGTTTAATAGTGTTTCCACCATGTTGAATCAGACAACACAACATGTTGCAACTTAATTTCTTGTTGTCTACCCTGTGACAGCAAATTGACTTCTTGCTCTATGCATAGTCAGCATCACTTTTACTTGGCCAAGTTTGTGCACGCAAACAAGGAATGTGACTCTCTGCACACAAAAGGAAACTTTTTAAACAGACAATTTTAAATGGACAGTTTATAAATAGGCAGCTCGACCCAGAAATAGCTGGAGACCTGATGGCTTAGTAACCATTACTGTTATGCTTCTTTGATATCTTCCTCTTACTGTGATGTACTTGGTGCCTTGGTGCACCATAGTCTTAAGTTCTGCATAGACAAGTACGCGAGGTCAAAAAAAAAGAAAAAGAAAAAGATGAAATTTGGCATCACTGAAACCAGAGTGGATCCCAGTGAACTTGCGGATAAAGAAATTATACCCAAGCCTTTACCCTTGCATCCAAATATTATCACCCCAGGCTCCAAAAACCTGCACAACAGCCATAATGCTAGAGTGGATGCCTAAAAATGGGACAAAGTCATGTTTATATCCATCTTTTATATACAGATTGATGATGTAAAAAACTGATTCACCCTCCCGTTTGCTCTATTTTTTGTCTGTCAGACAGCTTTTTTGGGCTGTACCTGCATGCTAAATCAGGACTAGGACTCCAGGGGAAGCTACAAAAATGTCTTTTAAAGATAGATTCTAGATATTCAGAATCTATCTTTCAGAGGAAGGACCCAGCATACAGAGCTACTCTGTAGACACTGTATTCAGCCTGGATGGGTATTTCTCTAACAAGTAGGCTGCGCTTGGTGATAAGATTGCTTATTGATCGCTTCCATCTCAGCTATTCTTCTTGTAACCATTATCATATTTTCATCCACTGTAAAACTATTATTGTGATATTTTTAATGTTTATATATATATATATAGAGAGAGAGAGGGAGAGAGAATATCTTTTATAGCACACAATTCTTTGAACCACGGCCCACATGCAAGGAAATCAGCGCAGAGTCACAGATGACAGTGAGCTTTAAATCCTGCTGATACCGCACTTTCTTTCTCAAAACAAAAACACGCCTGTCGCTAAACTCAACCAGTGGACTCCCCCACCCTCGCCAAAGTCTGCCTGTGAGTAAGAAGTGGAGTAAAAGAAGTGAGAGAGAGTGAGGGAGAGAGACAGGTGGTCAGGCTGGTCTTTTCCTTGCCCTCCGCTCCTTTTTGAACTTTTCTTTCATTCTTCCAGTTCATTCTGTGCTTCTTTCCATAGCTCCAGTGACAAGGCTCTCCATTCACCGCCTCATTCTTCCACCCCTCCCTCCTCCACCCCTCCCTCCTCCCTCCATCTCCCTCACACACCCCTCCCTTTTTACTTCTTTGTCTAACTCGTGGGGGCCTGCTTTAGCTACTATTCACCAGCCAGACGGGCCGCCATTGACTGGGCTCCCCCCACCCAATTCGACCCCCCGCCCCTCTGCAAAACACCCTCACACACATATGCACACAGCAACCTGGCCATTCTCCACCCTACGCCCTGTATCAGGCAGCTGCTATGCTAATAGGGAGGAAGGGATGGAGGGAGGGAGAGATGAGGAGGAGAGACAGAGCAGCCAGCCTATAGTAAAAGGACAGAGGGAGGGAGAGCAGGGAGATTGACCCCGCTCCACCATCTCCATAGCCATGCCAGAGCAGCAGCAGACCTCCTGTTACACAAAGGGAGTCCTCCCACCCTCCACCCCTCTGCCTTCACCCCTCTGTTCCCCTCTTTCTCATTTAAATCCATTTTATACCCCAGTGGTAAAGGGAGCTGTAAGTGCAGTATGTAAAGTAACCTTACTCCTGCCCTGCGGGCGTAACCATTCAGCACTCAAAACAGAGAGAACAGCCTCTGTGTGTGCTTGTGTGTGTGCGTGAGAGAGTGTGTGTCCATTCCCCTGCTTTGTTTAGGACTACAGCCCATACCTCCACACTGTGCTCACACACACACATGCACACGCTACCACCTGTCCTTTTAGTCTGGTTGCATCTCCCATTATAGTCAAGTAGTTGTAGACACATTAGAAACATGCATGCACTGGACTCACAAGAACAGAACGATTCCTATTTAGTGTAATTTATAGTCAGGTTGGCAACTGCTACTCCAGTCTGATATACCGACAAAGTTTCATGGCTATAATTTAACCTTATTTGAATTTTTGAGGGGCTGCTCAGATTTTAATCCACACACGGCTGAAACTACTATTTTTTTTCAATATTAAGTTTGTCATGTATGACAAAGAAAATAAAAAGGGATATAATATCACACTCCAATTTTTGTAAAAAGAAAACAGGAAAAATGAAGACATTGTTAAAGTCTCTGAGACACAGGCAATGCCCATTTTTCACTGTTTCTGAATATTCAATACACAAACAAGTGATTGCTCATGTTGGGAAATAATTAGCACATTGATTGCTAAAGATAGCTGGAAGCAGAGAGTGTCTGAAAAGATCCTGAAAATGATTTTAAAAAATAGATTTATCTGCTAATTGATGCAATTCTAAATGAAATACACTAAGAGTGTTTTCTGACATTCTGCCTGCCACATTTACATCAGTGTGGTGGAACATGTTGTAGTTATATAGCCACACTGAACAGAACAAAACACAGGGAGTCAAGTTCATGAAATCTTGACGAAAGTTTACCAACTATGAATAATGCACAGGTATTGTTT